CATGCCGCAAGTTGCGGGCCGCGAGCCAGTCATCAAGCAACCACCGTTGCTTGGCACCGTCAGCCCAACCAAGACTCAAGCAATGACTGCGATCGCAAGCAGTGCACAGCACATGCACGCAAGCTACATGGCGTCGCAGTCAAGCAAAAAGCCGCTAGTGCAGCCCTTGCTGCTTAGCACAAGACGGCCAACCGATATTCAGACGACTTCTGCTGTCTCCAGTAGTGTGCAGGCGATGTTCACGCGGCCGACAGCCATGGGAAGCTTCCAAATATACTCTGTGCAGCAATCGCGGGCTGGCACAGCAAGGCCAACGCAGACCATGTCTCCATTCCCAGGCAACGTGCAGTACATGCCGATGCCGCCAGCAGGCACAAGAGGCTACCATCCTTTCGCTTGCCAGTACTACGCGTGCGTGAGATGAGAAAAGGCTGTACTTCTGCAGCGTTTTGCGTGTGCAAAAGGAAAGCTACACCCCAATCTTGTGTAGCCAAGTGACGCCTTGCTAAGGTTGGCATCTTGCCTGTGCCTCACCCCATTGCCATCCGAACCTACCAGGCGCCGGTGGTCTGTTTGTGTTTGTGCTCAGGGCTTGGAGGTCATAAGTTTTTGGTTCTAGGAGCCACAGATGTGGGTGGAGGAAACCCGTGCGCCAACCCACAGTGGCAGATAAGCGCCCAGTCAAGAGTCGAATGCATGGTAGCTGCAAGACTGTGGAACCCAGGAGTGAGTTCATGCCAGGAGTGCGGGACTTCGTGAACGCATCATTACCATGGAGTGGCTTGGATCTGGCCCTGATTCAAAACTGGAGCCTTCAGCTGGGCGCCTGAAAGCACGAGCAGCTTCACAGACAAAGAACGTCGTGTCGAGGGCACTGCTGGAACTGCGAGAAGACGGCAGCACAAGGTTTCATCGCACGGTGTTTGATATGTGTGCCTTTTCGGCTCGCAGGATGCGTTCACAGCAGGCCTTTGCAAATTGCCAACTTGAAGCACGGCTTGTGCACGTCTGCCTTGTGCGAGGATTGATACGCAAGGATAGGTCAGTCAGCAGTCTACACATGTCTACACCGCTGCAATCTGAAGCGAAGCGGCCATTCTACATGTGAGCACCTCCTGGTGGAGGATGCCGAGGCCGTGCACAGCACCAGCTTGAATTACTGAGGAAAGGCCAATACTTGAGCAAACTTTAGCGGTTCATGGGTATAGTTATAAGTATGGTTATAAGTCCCCTAATATGGGTTATAACTATAGTTACCCTACTTATAATCACATGTACAACTACCCATGAACCTCCAAGCAAGGAGTGCTTCTTCGGAGCAGGCCTGGAACCCGCATTTATGGAATCGAGATTGCTGGGACCGCCCAGAGCCCAAGGAATCGCCACAGCCCTCGGACACTGCGAATGCAGAGACCAGGCCTTATGGCCTTGTGTTTCTACCCTGCTCTTCTAAATGCTGAGGATATATCCGGGGAGAGGCCCGATCCTGCTTGCTTCGCGAGGCCCTCACCGGATGGCAGCCGCATGCTACGGCTGCAAATCGTTGACGGCACAGGTCGTGATCGCATGGGCGTTCTGCTTTTCAGTGAGTGAGCGACAGGCCAGGAAAGACGAGTTGACATCCATGTTGACCCCACCACCACGGTGGCTCAGCTCAAGGCCTTCCACGCTGTTCCCAGTTTCCCATTTTGGGCGCTCTTTTGTAACCGAGCTCGCAGGATGGCAACTACCTTGGCGTTGACTTTGCAGTCGGCTGGCCGGCCGCCGCCGCCATACAGACTTGGCTGCACTGTCACTTACATGTGCAGGCGGCTACGCTGCGTTTTCCGTGGCCGCCTGCTGAGTCGCAGCCCGAGTCGTGCAGCCCATCCTGCTTGCGAAGATTCGGAAGTCTTTCCATGAAGTCGCAGCTACTGTAGTTACTGTAGGTGAGATGGAGCCGCTGGGGAGATTGCTATGGGCCCAGTGCCTTTCGAGTCCAAAAGAAGGCCACCCAGTCACAGATGTGTCGAATCTCGGCCTGGCTTAAGGCCGAGTGGTGCCTTCCTTCAGTGCTACCTGCAGCGACCTTCTACAGTCGAGAGCGCCAGCAGCCCAGCATAGCCTGAGCATACTTGGAGGTTCATGGGTACTTATAAGTATGGTTATAAGTCCCCTAATATGGGTTATAATTACAGTTACCCTGCTTATAACCCCATTTATAACTACCCATGAACCTCCAAGTAGCCCACAGACATCACATGTCAGGGCCCGGGCAGACTTGGGGCCTTCTCTCAGGCAGACGGGCTTGAGCTCGACCCGCTCCTTGTTGCCTGGGCCAGGCCCGCGCTTGAATTCTCCAGGAGTCCTGCTTTGTGGCAAGAGTTCTGAGTTCTGCTTCGAGGCTAGCTGGTGTTGGTCGGAATTCCTTCCCGCCAGAAAAGTGGCAGGACATCCGTAGACGGAGCGCCACTCTGCTGCCCGAGCTTGTGGATTCCCTGCCAGGATGTGGTGTTCCACTGTGCATTTATCATCGGCCTGGCCGTCGCAGCATCCCGAGCGAAGTAGGGAAGCCGGTTGCCTCACGCCCCAAAGTGCCTTAGGCTTGGTCGGCGTACCTGGGAAGCCCTGATGTCTTTGATGGCTTCGGGCGCCTGGCGCTGCGCTTCCTCACAATCTCCTGGGCCAGCTTCTTAGCTGTGCTTCGACCATTTTCGGACGAACTTCTGCCGCAACCAGTTCAATGTAGCTAGATGTGTTGCTGGGCGCCCAACTCCTCCATTCGACTTGTCCGTGCACCTTCCGATCTGCCGAAACATGCCCAAAAACATGTTCTACTGCAACCACTGTCGGTGCCTTAAGTCTTTCCGAAACATTGATTGTGCTCGGAGCTGAAGACACAGCCACAGGAACGGCAGGCGGAAGACAAATCCAGGTGTTGCTGTCAGACGGCGCGTGGCTCCAGTCTGTCCTGTCACTGATGTAGATCCGTGCAGGTGTTGTGTCCAACGAAGTGCGCTGGCGACGGCACGGCAGTTGTGACCATCGGCTGCTTCAGAAGCAGTTTGAATGGCTGCCTGCACTCGCAGCTGAAGACACAGCCGCAGGGCGGGAACTGAAGACGAAGCTGCAAGATCTGGAGGCGGAAGACAAAGCCAGGTGTTGCTGTTTGAAAGCACGCGTGGCTCCGGACCATCACTCATGTAGATCTATGCAGGCACTTGAGTCTGAGTGTGCTGGCGATGGCGTGGCCGTGGTGATCATATGGGCGGCGTCAGAAGCGCTGTTTCACGCTACATCGCGTTGTTGGAGGGTTTTTCAGCGAAGGTGCTTGGGATGTGCCAGTTTCTTTCTGTTGTTCTTCTGTCATGCTTAATTACTTTCCTAATAAAGGGAGTTTCTGCTTCGCGTTCGGGCCGGCGCGATCCGTATGTAAATAACAATAGATGGGCCGTTTGCATCCCAAAAATGAACGATCCATGCAGGGTAAGTTCCAATGCGCGAGACTCCTTCATCATCCGCCGAGCAACCCTTGCATGCGGTGTACGATCCCATGTATATTGCAATGTACCAGGCTAGAATGAGATGGGTGGATAATACCGTTTTCGATACTCATGGCTGTCGGTATGAATGTCTGAGTCTGGATGTATGCATGGATGAACGCATAACTGATTGGTGGCTGCATGAAAGAATGCACGCATGGCTACATGCATCCAGTCATGATGCTTTAGCCAAACGTCGACACTCCTGGCTGCATTGCGGGACATCCGATCTCGACTTGGAGGTTCATGGGTACTTTTAAGTATGGTTATAAGTCCCCTAATATGGGTTATAATTATAGTTACCCTACTTATAACCCCATTTATGACTACCCATGAACCTCCAAGTAGTTGCTCGAGGTCGCGTCCTTCTGCGGCGATTTCATTTTCACTCCAGGCGGAGACATGCTCTGGTGATGCACTGCTTGGAGGTTCATGGGTATAGTTATACATGGGGTTAGAAGTAGGGTACCTATAATGATAACCCATGTTAGGGGACTTATAACCATACTTATAACTACCCATGAACCTCCAAGCACTGGGGTCTCAATTCCGTGCCAGACAGGCTTGCCGACAACAGCACGGGCTTTGAGCCGGGCTTCTGCTGCACTCGGAGAAGCTCGTGCCTCAGGGCTTCCGT